ATATATGTATATATATGTAAATATAATATTTATATCACAGATTTTGGTTCACATAGTCGAAATTTCTACCTGGGTTTTAATATAATTGGGCATATATGTGCCTTTGCAATGGCATTCGACAACTTACACAATGGGACTGTAGTAGCCTTCTATCTCACCATCTCCGCTGTACTTGCGTCAGCGGTGTTCTTCGGCTTTATATTGTTAATTTTGTTTAGAATCTGGATCTGGTGGTTAGATTACGTCCGGCCTAAACAGGATAAAAGCCGGAGAAGCACAATTATGACTAAATATGAACGACGTCAGATAAGTGATAGCAAAAGCCATGCAAAATTAGCTGAATGCGACGATCGAAGAGTGATGCCGTCCTGGTACGCAAAAGGTCATCAGAGGCATCCAAGGGGTTCAATGTCAAGCCTGAGTGCAAGTGGGAGTAGTGCAGACGGAGATTTGAATACAGTGGAAGTTGTAGAGGCTATAGAACGAAATAATAGACGAAATGAGTTTAGTGGTGAGAAATCAAGAAATGAATGGAGCAGGGGATCTGAGTACGTAGATAGTATCTACAGACAAGCAGGCAACAAACCTAGCTCGCAATACACCTCAGGGGAGTATAGGGATCGTATAAACAGACCCACCGACTATGAGGCTACAGGTGCGGTTGCGAATGGTTCAGGGCAGTCGCACACTGTGTATCCCTCGGGAGAGTGGGGTAGAAGGGAAGAGCGCGAGGGGTTGAACTCGCTGTACGGCTCATACGATGGTCTAGACACATTTGTGCCACCAGAAATGTCATTTACAGGGGAGGATAGGGGCCGTATGGCAGGCGACAGATCAGATGATAATATTGCTTCGAACGCCGATTATACGCTTGGAGACCTCGGCGGTGATAAGAAAACGAACGCACGCGGTGGGATGGGCATGCGTTCAAATGAAAACGGAAATGAACACGAGGTGAATATCCACGAGGACGACCGTATACGTGGTGCTAGATCGTTTGGAGATGTTGCTAGACGTATTTCGTAGGCGAAACGACTAAGCTTATTGGCTGGTATCCATTTTAGCGCAATTATAGCCTGCCTAGTAAAAGTGTTTTAAGAATAATTGCAAGCATTACTAGCGACCTGTTCTAGTCTACGTGCCTGTTGCTAAGTAACATCAATCTTACTGGTAGCGCGAGGCCATATGCGAATATCACACACGATTTGCGTCTGCTAGTACCGGCTGCATTAGGTCACTGGAAGGGGCGACGGGTTGTTTGTGGAGAAGAAGCAGGATCAGATGAAGTGATTCATACCTACTTTTATAAGTTACAACTATAGCAGCTCCTTCATTATTTTTCTTCGTCAGGAATTGTTGCTCCGCAGAGTAGCGACTATGACATAATTAATCTGTATCGTTCACATCCTGAAGGACAACGCACAAGTGCGATTCGTGAGGTACCCATTGAAGATTTGTATTCAATTACATTTGGTGACTTGAACCATAAACTGTAACACGACGCTCAGCCCAAACGTCCTGAGAAATAGCAAGCGAAAGCACTTAACTCCAAGTACATTTTAACCACAAGTCTGTTTCAAGCGTGGCATGGAGTCATGGAGGGTTTAGCAGATATTAAATTAGCATCCAGAGAAGTACTCAGTTGCATCTCAAGTGCTATATCTTCATAGCCTCACATCTACGACCTACTGCATATTATCTATTGATTTCATCAGAGGTATGCGTAGACTTGTCGGTCCCACTCCGATGAATCCTCATTCACTGTGGCAGAGTGAACGATGTGCAGTATATAAATGCGTCTATGCAATGCCTCGATATACGGCAATACCTATTAATCAGAATGGTGTCCTGGACTGCGCACTTGGTGTATGTATATGTAAATCGCGCCGCGATGTGTTTCTGAATGTGCACTTTGCCAAGCGATAAGATTGTTTGTATTGCTAACCTAGCACACGGTGACGCATATAGCTTGGTCACAATACACTACCCGAAAATTAGGATCGACCAATACACCAATTTTCAAACGAACCCCCAATAAATTGACATCTCCACCTTGGAGTTGCTATAAGCTAGCTCGTTGAATTGATGAACGACGATATGGTACCGAGAGGAAAAATCAACACTCACACTCAGACATGAACCGCACGTATCTGCGAGTAAAAAACATATCATAAATACCAGCTTTGTTCCACAGAACCTTTGTATGGCGTTTTGTATGGCACACGAACACACATACTTCTCATAAGCCGAACGGCTATGAGCGGAGTTGAATCTGGCACCGTTCAGGTTGTCATCCACATGTTCCCTTGTCCGTGTTATTGAAATCTATACTGCAGCCGCGACGGTGCACTTGACTACTTGCTGAGTGATTATGATGTGTTCGTAATTTGATACATCGATCGGTTGTCCAGCTTTGTGTTATAGCAATTTGTGTGCATCTTGATTGCTAGATAGATTGCAAAGCTTCTTCTCGGCACGATTTACACTGTTCTGACAGACCCAGCGGTTGAAATTACAACGTATCTCTCACTGTGTCAGCGTAATTGGTTAATGGGTTGGTGTTGCTCAATGAAAATGAAACGATGGCATGGTTCAAGATTACTAGCATATGGAGACGCTAACGACTTCTCGTGGGATGTGCACCTGAAGGTTGTCCCATTTGAGAACCACTTGCGAAATTGATATTTTGCATACTGGCGAGAAAGTTATATCACACACAAACCAAGCCAAATCAATGATTCATAGACAGCTTGTCAACAAATGCAAAGGGCGGATTCACTCAGTATTAATTTATTGGTATCATTGAGCAACCAACATGCATGATGTGAAGGTGTATTTGCGGCGATTGTTAGACACATCGCCCAATCACGCACTGCTTACAAAGTACGGACCCTGCGTATAACTACTGAGATAACCCATTAGTCCGAGTCCGACCTCGAGTCAGCACTGCTGCTGCTGCTGTTGCTGTCGCGTGAGCGCCTGCGGTGTCTCCTGTGTCCTGCTCGGCGCTTGGTTGGGCGTCTTCTCGATCTAGATCCGGATCTGGACCTGGAGCTCCTACTTGAGATGCTCCTAGATCTTCGTTCCCGTTTGCTCCTAGACTTCTTCGGAGAGCTTGATCGTGACGATGAGCGCCTCTTCGACCGGCCCCTATGCCTAGCGCCTCTCTCATGTCGACGGTGAGAGGTCAGCGGTGACCGCGAAAGGCGGTGCGACCCGTCTGAGGAGGAATCTCTATCCCGCTGATGAGACCTATCCTGAGCGTTTCCGCGTCCTCTCTCGCGACTGGTAGAACGCGAATGTGTGATCTTTGTGGGGCCACTTTCAGATCTGGCTCTAGAATGTGATCTGGATCTGGACTTTGAGGACGCCTCGGTTGGCTCGGCATCAGCCGTCTCCCCATCATTCTTCCCCTCTACACGCTCCATCTTATATTCCAAATCATCGCCGTCCATGCGCATAGTGACTGATGCACCCGCAATGGGCTGATCACTGCCGTCACTGTCCACGTGATCCTCCTGCTCATCTGAACCTTCATCCACGTGTGCACTCGCCGTGATGATGATATCTCCCATCCCATCATCATCCTTGGAATGTGCACTGGACGGGACAATGTCTTGCCTTCTTGTGCCTGCACCGTCACTCACTTCTCCCGGTTCTACCGATGCCGAGGCGCGCTTCGTCAATTTCCGCTGCTTTTCCTCGTCGTCTTTCTGGCGGCGAGCTTCGCGCTGCTTGTCCAGGCGTGCCTGTATCTGAGTCGACAGGGTTTCCCGTCTGTCTGCCTCATCACTCGAATTGCCGCGTTCACTTGACGAATACCTTCTGCTACCACGTGCTGCACGGCCCCTGCTACGACTACGATAACGCCTGCGAGTGCGGCTGGGACTACGACTGAGACTGCGACTATAACTTCGACTTCGACTATCCCTCTCCCTACCCCGATTGCCATACCTGGGAGAATCACGGTCCACATAACCACCCTTGCGTTTCCGTGCATCCCACCTGCGCTCATGTTTCGACGCATACATGTATCGGTCACGGTTTGGATCGCGCCGGGCAGCCCCAATAGTGTATCTAGGGCCTCTCAACGGACTTTGCGCACGGAAACTGCCTCGGCCACGCACTAGCTTACCCGATTTAGAGATGCGTACATTCTTATTTCCAGTATCTGCTTTGTCCGCCTTTGTTTTGGCTTTAGCATCGCTCTCAACATCACTCACATCCCCGTTGTCACTTCTACTATCGCTGTTGCTGCTCGCGCTGTCATGTCGGCTGCGTTTCGCTTTTCTTTTCTTGCGCTTGTTCTTGTGCCGTTTGCGGTGTCGACGAGTGCGTGCATCTGAGTTGCTACCAGAATCAGACCCTTCCGAACCTGAGCCTGACGCGTTCTTGTCGCTGTCGCGGTCTGAGTCAGAGGACGAGGCATGTCGTCTGTGCTTTTTGCGTTTCGACTTCTTTTTCTTCTTCGACTTGCTCTGAATTGAACACATCGGGTGGAAAACGAAGAAATATCAGACAACCGTGTAGCACGTGCAAGAGTTCTAGAAGTTTCAATCTACTACCACTAATTGAGACACAAATTTCGCCAAAGATGTATGTTGAGCTCTAAAGTATGAAAAAAAAATACACACGACGTGAATAAGTGGAAACAAACAAATTTCGCGCGGCTAGTTGATGAAACTCGCGATCCAACATGCAATGCGCAATTTTAAGAACTGCTCACTAAGGGAATTGTCTACTAAGGTTTATAAATTTGGCCCCAATAGTCGTTGATTTGGCTGACATGGTATAAATATAGTACCAACCTTTTCCTTTTTATGCTTCTTAGACTTCTTTGCTTCCTTCCTCGAGTCGTCACTGTCCGAGCTTGCTTCACTCCCGGAATCGGCTCCACTACAACAAAAATACGCACAGCATGAGGACTATTCGTTGGCACGTATTGGCATACGCCAGTAGACCCGGCGGCAAGCCCATGCAGGTGACTGAGAGTACCCTTTTTGAACACTGACAGCGATCAATATTCAACACTGAAATATTAAAAATGCACACGCACGGTGTGTGGCTTATGTAAAGCGTACATCCGCACCAGATAAATATAGATACAGTGCCCATGAGAACAGCGAGGCCTCCTGAGCGCACCGACCCCACTTAAAATACCAGACATGGCACGCGTACAACTGTGCAGTAATGATAAGAAACGTTTGCGAACTAAACAAAAACCAATGAACATTTTGATCCGTGTACCTTTTTTCGTCGCGGCTTACTTCCCGTTGCCGCTTTTCTGACACCTTCGTGGCTGTTGAATGACAGGCACAAAATTAAACGTGAGAAATAATCGAAAAATCTAAGTGATAAAAACGGTCACAGTGACAAAGCTCGCATAAGTGATGGAACAAAATTATCATTATCGAGTTACAGACCGAACATATTTAAAATAGTGTTGCATGGTCGCTCGTGCAATAAGTACTACCCATGATATCGTCATTTGATATTCCATACCATTTCCAGCAGATCGACGCACCAGCTCTCCACATTTCATCACTGTGACCGTCTCGAACGGCCTGTAATTTTCAAAATAAAAGGTCGATTAGAAAGTTTCGAACATTTTCACATTGGCATGGCGATCCTGTTCTTTTAAGCAATCATATAAAATAATCGGACAGGATGGACACTTTCGAATTCGAAGGAGATACAACAAGAAGTGCGTTCTAATCGGTCCTTATCTCCTTCACACTTTTACAATCACAAATTGCACAACCAATATGAGATCACGCCTGGAGAGAGTGATGAATATGCCAGTATACACTATGATCACCGCACCTGTCTGATCTGTCCGTCTCAACGCCCTCGATCTGTTTCACAACCTCTTCTCCAGACACGACTCTACCGAATACCACGTGTTTGCCATCTAGATGAGGCGCCGCAGTTGTAGTGATGAAAAACTGAGAGCCATTGGTATCTGGACCGCGGTTGGCCATGGAGAGTAGAAAGGGCTTGTCATGTGCAAGCACGAAATTTTCATCTGAAACAAGAAATTGCGGGTGTAAAAAATTCAAATAAGTTAGAGAAGAATTGTCAGTGTTACTTTTAGGACAGCGCGATAAACACAAACATAAGATGTATAGACATAACTCATCCGCTAGCCTTTGAGCCTTAAATGTTTGCAAATATGGGATCACAGGTTTACAGTACATTATGCATTTCCCTCACATACCAGGCCACATCCCACCATAGATGGACTGAGGCGGGCCCGAACCAGTACCAGCGGATATATCGCCACCCTGTAAAGACGTGCAAAAGTGGTCGAATTGAGCACAATGCATGTTGTATAGAGTGAGTGACAAGTGTACTCTATGGGATCTTACGATTCCGAATCTGATTCTGATGATTTATAAAAGGTAAAACATTCGTGAACCATGTAGACTAGACGATCAGTACTTCGTACACATGCATTCGTGGTCAAATATACCACTCGATTCTGACATAGCGGCAGGTTGTTTGCTACATAGTATTGGCTGCCCTATTTATAATTTAAGTAGACATTTCACAAAGGACGTCACCATAGGTCGTCCTGCAGGGGTCAGAATTTCCCGTGTGGAGTGTTATGCATACCATATGTATTCGCAGTCCTGAATACTGATTAAAAAAATTAAATCGCATAAGGCCACACCCACACTACAATACGCACATACCTGAAGCATGAAATTAGGAATCACTCGATGGATCTTGACCCCTCTGTAGCTCAACGTTTCCCCTAATTCACCAGTACACAGCATCCGAAAATTCTCAGTTGTTTTGGGGCAAATATTGCCAAAGAGCTCGAATACAACACGTCCGGCCAATTTCCCATCAATACTAAAGTTCATTGTGGCAAATATTGATGAAAAGGAAGAGTATAGATATCAGCTGATCATACCGCATGTATATCGATGTGCACAACTAAAAAGGTACTACGAGACATTGATACAAAATAAACACTAGCTACACCTACGACTCCTTATGTGAATATTCAAATAAAAACACAAGCATGTAAATTAAACAAGTATTTGTATACTTCTACACTCCTATATATATATATATATATATACAAATATGTGTGTGTGTGTTCGTGTACATATATACGTATACTATATGTATTATCTCATGTAT